TGAATGCAATGTTGATATATAGATTTCTTTTAAAGATCTAGGAAAAAAAGAAAATCAAGGGTGGTTTAATTGACAAGTCTAAAAATAGAATTTGGTGCACTTTAGAAAGGATTCTGCAGTACTGTGCTGAATGTCATTTCTTATCCATCACAATTAAAGGTCAGTATCAACATTTATTATAATGATTTTCTGTACTTCCTATGAATACTACACTTTCGACCAATTAGTATAAACATCAAAATAGCACCTACTGTCTATTGGAAGTATCAGTAATCACAGTTAGATTAGTTTTGTGTCAGTAGGAGTTAAACATTATATTCTTTTCTAAATTAGATAGGGTATAAAAATAATTCCATACAAATGTGTGTGTAGAAAAAAATCCTGGTACTACCATGGCACTGAAGTAAACAGCAGCATCAAGCTAAAGTGAATTTCAGGGAAGAAATAGTTGCTACATTAAATTATAATTTTAAGTGTATGTAAAGGCAAACCTTTTAGAAAATATTAGGTAGAGAAAGGAAGGATTAGGACCCATGTCAAGCTTTTATTGCTGCCCTTTGTCCCCCACTGGGAGATGTGCCCATCTGTTTGTCTTGGTAGCCATTGTCATTGAAACAAAAAAGTGAGGAACAATCCAAAGTTAAAAATGTGTCATCAGAATAAGAAGTATAGGTAAGATATCCAAATGGGGACAGGGGCGGTCTGACAACTAATGGGGCCCCCGGGCAATAGGGGATCATGGGGCCCCTGTGTCCTTGCCCAAACTCAAAAAAGCCTATGAAAAAGGTACCAGGGGCATCTCATGAGGCCCCCTACTGGCCCCGGGCCCTTGGGCAGTGCCCGAGTTTCCAAAATGGTCAGTCCGCCCCTGAATGGGGATAAATGTTCTTCTGATATGTTTTTAAGATTGCAGTTCTCTTCCTTTTCTTCCTATTCCCCTGTTGAGTCTCCAGAACAGGAAGTGATGGGGAAATCTACCTAGTGGAAGAGAGACAGTAAAACTAACCTGACCTAAAATGAATACTGCCGAAGCATGTGCTGTGCTAATGATGCTGACTTGTTGTCAAACCACAAGCTCATATTTTCTGAAACAACTTTGAACTGGTATTCAAACTAGCCCTCAAAGACACACATAGACAGATTTTTAGGAGGAAAATGACTACCAATCAATAAAATGAATTTTTAGTCAAATTTTGAGTAAGTCTAGTTTTTGGGAATAAAAAGTAATGGACTGCAATAGTTACCCTCTGTGGCTATTAATCCAGACTGCCTTTAAATGCACTTGTGCCAATACTATGGACATTAAAATATTTAGACAACAAGCAGTAAAATAGCTTTAAAACACCATCATTGACATCTGTCGCTGTATCGTCAAGATTTCATTCTCAAAGACCACAACAAAGACTCTAAAGTTGGGTTTTAGTCAGTTCGTAACAGCTTAGAAATACCTGCTGTGTGTTTTCGTTAGAAAGCTGGATGCCAAGATTCTGTTTCCATAGAAAGCCAATTGGAGCTATGATTTCAGTGTATCTTTTACAAAATTTTAAGAACAAATTTCTCCTCAAAGCCTATAGCTACAGTGGTAAATTAAGTTTAAGGTGCTTTTACTGCTTCAGAATATGTAAATACTTATTTTGTATTGTCTAGTCACAGGTCTACTTTAGCCCCTGTATTTTTGTTTTATTAACGGTTTACCATAAATACATATTCACATGACCTCTGAAGATAAGGGTTAGCCAGATTAGTCAGTCAGATACTCTCCTTCTGTAGGGACCGAGGTACCAGATGCCTATATTTTCACACATCTGGCCACTGAAGATTATTTTCTCTGGCAAGGAATTTTAGCCCTTACCATGAATGTTGATATAGCCAAGTCTTTTGGCAATAATAGCCTGCCTGCTCAAAATGTTTTATTTTTTCCACTTTAATGAAACCTAGAATTGGTCTTGCAGTAAAATATTACAGTTTTTCCTGCTCTTCTAGTCATCATTTTTAGGTATACCAATGCAGATTAACCAAACTGTTTCCTCAGCCTCTCTGCTCCTAATCGTAACTTGTCCAACATGGATATGACATCTTATCTTAATTCTTAGGTTAGCCATACACTCCTAGATTTCTCCATCCATGTTAAACACCATAGATGGAAGAATCTTCTCCTGCCAGCTACTGTATTCTAACAGCACCCATGGCTGTCTGAATTCGTGACCAGTGAGAGCATCTGTTTGGATGTCAATACTGTTCAGCTGACAATTTTCCACTGATTCGTTTAATTTTAAATAAAAGTTTTCATGCTGGGAGGTGTCAATAGGACCACTCACAGATCTCAATTTGAGCCATGTATAGCAGGCTTAAAGGATAACTTCACCTCTAGGATTATGTTACATGTTACACCCATATTTAGGGTATAACATGTGACATGCTCCTATTCACCCACCACCCGCTGCCAGAGCCCCCCTTCCTGTGACAGAGGGCGAAGGAATCCTCTCCCCGCACCAGCTTCCATATTATAAAAGTGGTGTGATTGGTTCGGGGCTCTGTCCAAACAGCTGCATGATTCATTCACAGCAATCTGTGTAAAAGTCCCATCTACCACCATGCAGATGGCTTGTAGTTCTCAATGGACTGCGAGGGCACTGAGCTCCCTCATAGTCCATTCACACTACATACCTTTCTGTAACTGAAAGCCCTAACAAAGCTGCAGGCAATGTGTGCAGGAGCCTGGCATTGCACCCATGATTCACTAATCATGGATGCAATGCTCTACAGGCTCCTGTGAAAGAAAAAAAAAAAGAACATTCTTTTTCCTGCAAAAACATTTGAATTTATTATTTTTTTCACAAAGGTGAAATTATCCTTTAAATCGAACTAATCAAATGAGCTTTGAGATAAGTGGGGTGAGACAGTTGGCCTGTTGGAGAAGTACAAATCTGTAGAAACCCCGTCAAAGGGAAAACTCTGTACACAAAGTTTTAGTCCAGAAACCCAGCTCGGAACATGCCATAGAATAAAATTAGCAACGCTAAGGTATTTCACTTGCATGAATATGTGACCACATAAATAAAACACTTATTCTCTCAAAAAAAAATTAACAAAAGATTTGCTGAACAGCCAACAATACACATGACCAATATTTATTAGTCTACCAATCTCTGTCCATTGTAATAATAATGAGTATAAACATTAATTACATTTCTATGTTATTAACCCCTCTGTAATTTTCTTCTCAAAACAATCTAAAGGGAATTTACAAAAAAAAAGAAAAAAAGGAACATGAGGATCAGCTAACAGTTAGAAAGCTAATATACTCATTACATTGAAAAAAGCTAAAACTGAAAAGGAACCATCTCAGCACCTGAAACTTCAGAAAGTGCTGGATATCTGGTTCCATCCACCAACTCCACATCTCTACAAGACAATGTAGTTATGTAGTGGTCAGCGGATGGAAACACAGCACGCCATGGGTGACCAGGCATCTGGCACACCCAAAAGCTGAAAATTTCTTGGTAGCCGTACAGATCAAATACATGGGGTGCGGGCAGCAGGATATTACTGGGAAGAATTTGTATGTCTTTTTAATTTGGATGTCTTTTTAATCAAGTAACAAAGTTTCTTTAATGAAATATTTAACTTTATATGACTGTCTCTCATCAAAAAACATTAGTATTTTCTATAATTTGCAAAGTAAAAGCACAGACTAATATCCCTTTCCTGGTCAAATTTATTTTGTTTTTAATTTAATTGAGGACTAAAAATACACTTCTACAACATCCATTATTTTCCTGTAATGTCTAAATATCAGGATTGTAATCTAGCCATTAATTCTTGAAAGTGGAGATAGAAATGGAAAATCTTTCCCTGCATTAAATAGTAATAAAATCATTTTTCTGCTCCCTTGGAGTTATAATACACCTGCTTCGCAATAATGCACAAGTTTTACAACCTTCCTGGGCTTTCTTCCAACAACATGTTGTGAATCGCTGCACTTAATTAGCTACTTATAACCTGTTCATAAGGTCCCAAGAGCTGCAACTTTTTGAAGAGATGTCGATCTTGCTTCACGCATTTCTTTCCTGGCAATGGGTTTTGAGCCAGAATATAACCTCCTAGCTAAATAACTGTAAATTCTTAATATGAAATGAATTATTTACTTGTTATATCAGGTGTTTTATGCTATTTGTAGCTTGTTCTGCAAGGAGGAATGCTTTGTTATTCAGAATGTGCTGTAGGATGAAAGTAACATGAATTTAAAATATACTGTTTTTTAACATTTTACTATTCAGCCATTGCTCCATTTCTATTTAACAACGCAGAACTCAGCAAAGAGTCACAGAATGATTATTCTTAATGGAATATCCTGCTTTAATGTAAATGTAACCATGGATGTGAGAAGACTGTCAGTGGATCATGTAGATTTTGCCCATACTGGGCAATGTTTTTCTTGCATATGGGTACCAACGGACAGGAATAGACATCCTTTTTGTTGACTCTTTTGATTTAACTGTGTAGGAATTAATGACTAAAATGTTTGGATCTGTTCATTGTTAATGTTTTCTTATAATATTAGGTTTCAAGCATTATAGCTGCTATTTAGAAACCCACCCTTTGTCACTCCTGCATTGCCCCATGGATAGTAATATGCCAACTCAAGAGTTACAATGAATAGCAATGGGATCATGATCACTAATTTGACTACTATTTAACCAACTTATACCCGCTTCTTTACCAGGCCAATTTTCAGCTTTCAGCACTGTTGCATTTTGATAATTGCGCGGTCATGCAAGATTGTACCCATATGAAATTTTTATCATTTTCTTCTCACAAATAGAGCTTTCTTTTGGTGGTATTTAATTGCCGCTGGGCACTTTACTTTTTGCGCTATAAACAAAAAAAATGCAAAAAATTATTTGTTTCTATTATAAAATTTTTCAAACAGGTAATTTTTCTCCTTCACTGATGTGCGTTAATGAGGCAGCATTGATGGGCACTAATAGGCGGCACTGATGGGCAGTGATAGGCAGCACTAATGGGCACTGATAGGCAGCAGTAATGGACGGCACTGATAGGCAGCACTGATAGGCAGCACTAATGAGGTGGTACGGATAGTCGGCACTGATAGGCAGCACTAATGAGGTGTCACGGATAGGCAGCACTGATAGGTGGCACTGACTGGCGGCACTGCTAGGCATTGACTGGCACAACCGCTGGGCACTGACTGGCACAACCGCTGGGCACTGACTGGTAGCACTGACTTGCAGCACTGCTGGACTGCACTGATGGGCACTGGTGGGTGGCACTGGTGGGCACAGGTGGGTGGCACTGGTGGGCACAGGTGGGTGGGCACATGTGGGTGGCAGGGCTGGACACAGTTAGGTGCCACTTCTGGGCACAGGTGTGTGGCACAGGTGGGTGCACTGCTGGGCACAGGAGGGTGCACTGCTGGGCACAGGTGGGGGGAACTGGTGTGTTTCACTGCTGGGCACCGATCATCAGGGCACTGATCATCAGTGCCCTGATGATCGGTGCTGATCCCTGCTCTGACAACTGCCGGTTCTCGGCAGTACTTTCCTCACGCTCTGACAGCGTGAGGAAAGTGCAGCCGAGAACCGGCAATTGCATTTCCCGGTGACCAGCTTGTCATTGGACACGGCTGATCACGTTGTAAAAGGCCGCTGTGATTGGCCTTTTACCACATTATGTGATCAGCTGTGTTCGTAGGACACAGCGATCATGGAGATCGCTGGGTGCGCGCCACCGGGGGCGCGCAGGAGAGTGCGTTCTGGGAGGACATCATATGACGCCCTCCCAGAACTGGCCGGCCGCAGTGTAGCCGTCATTCGGCTATTTGCAGTTGGAAAGTAGTTAATATCTATGACCTCCTACAATTCACCAAGGCCAGGACCTACAAACTTAAACATATGCATTTCCAGTTGCATTAGTGCAGCCTTACCTCTCAGGGATTACTTATTTTTTTTAATAATTTATGTTACGTTTCCCTCTGTCAGATCAAAGTGTTAGGCTGATTATCAGGCTATAAAGCCACCCTATGTCCAGAATAAGTTCAGCAGTACTTTAAATAAACATTTAAACAAATTTCACATAAGAAAGGTGCTGTCTATGTTATATGAAAGAAAAATAGAGTTAGTAACTGACAGTTAAGAGACAGAGCCTGTTAACTTTAATGGGGTCTTACTGCAGACACTGTTATGACATTTTGGCTCCAACAGTAAGGCCTCATTCACACCATTTGTGCAGAAAACTGATTGAAACTGAAGCACAGATTTCACTTGTAGAGACATCAGTTTACATAAGTTTTCATGTGTGCCTCAATGAGTCTTAAACACATTACAGATTCCTGCACAAAAAAAATCTGCACAGGATACTAGTGTTGTGGTGTAAACAGGGCACATAGTGAACAATTGATATTGTTTTGCCCTTGCAGAACGCATGCAGAAAAACTGACCTCTCTGTCCCATGGTGTGAACGAGCCCTAAAAGAACACAACAAAAAAAAGTACAAAATGAATAGAAATAAAAAAGGAGAGCAGATAATCAAGCCTATATTTTTTGGATCTCATAGAATCCCTGCCCGTTACAATCTTTTCCTTGTATACACATATTATACTTTACGTACACAATGTTAAAAATGTTTTTAAAATAATGATTATTTTGGTTTTATAGCAATAATAATTGGTAATAGTGAATAATTCTCATCCATTTCATTCATGCCAATTTATTTTTTATCAGTTTTACTCATGTTTCAGGCTTCCCCTTTTGTGTATATATACATATATATTTATCAGATATTTTATTAATATTGAAATAGTAAAAGTATCTAATAAAATTATAATCTAATATGTTTCTCTTTAGTGCAATTTGACCTAAATCAACATTACCTTTACTTTCCTTATGCTTAAGTGTTATATTATTTGTAGTATGGAAACATAGCGGCACCACTCTAGGTGTAGATTTATCATAAAACCAGACTTTAATAGGTAAACAACTCATAAGGATTGGATGTAAATTCGCATGTCTAAACAATCATTTAGACATGTGTATTTACATCCAATCCTTGCGAGTTGTTTACCTATTAAAGTGTGGTTTTATGATAAATCTACACCTAGAGTGGCGTCGCTGTGTATTCTTTCTTCTTTTGTGCATTAGAGTTGCTTCTTGACCGCTGACTGCCTTCTACCCTGAGATCCACATCTATCTGGAGATATCATGTACCTTTGGACTTGTGTGTAACAGGACATTGCTGGACACTCACATGTCCGCCATTTTTTACCTATATGGTTTTTTATCTTATTTTATTTTTTCTATATATATAAATATAGGATTATAGTTGGATTATACATCTGATGTTGTCTCCCTGTAGCACTGCCCACCACTCCTCCCTATGTTTATATTATTTGAATCTCATTTTGACTACATATCCTACCATTTAAGACTGTCCATGACACCTGTATTCAGACCTTCTCCCTAGGTTTCTACATGTACTTCTTCTTAAGAATTTTTGTGAGTGCAATATTGTTTTAAAATGTACTTTTAATACGCAACTGTTTAGATATGTAACATCTTTCTTATTTTTCATCTTTCAAAATAATTACACATTATTTTTATTTTCTCATGCATAGTCATGAATGAATTCATTACCTGGAATTTTTTTTGGAAGTTTTTATTTTGAAATGTATTTGAAATGCACTATGTACAAGTACATCTGTGAGTTAGACCACTACAGTTACCAACACAGCAACAATACATTCAAAGGCCATGTAGTGGCTGCTACCAAATGAGTAGAGCGGGTTTTCTTTAACTCCTTCTTCAGAGCAGTGCCTGTGCTACCACTTCACAACCAGACAGGTTTAATAGAAGTTAAAGCCTTTAAAATGTATAAAAAATGAAAAGGATGGCATTCTCCGAAAACTGCTGCATTACACAACATTTTCTAGATGAGATTCATACAAATGCCCATTGCTCACTGGTTCTCTTTAAATGTGGCCCTGCTTGATTACATGAAGCTAAAGGATACAGATCAAAAGGCTTACTAAGTAGTCCTGGTATGTTTCATTAGAGCTGTTGATCTGATTCATTTGCATCAACAGATTAAATTCCCTTAGAGTAATTCAATTCTCTTTCCTATGTTTTGATTACTGTCTTTCTATCTCTTTAATATCCTTCACCTGTGCCTGCTGAATCATCATTCACATCTGCCTTATCATCTGCTTTGATTTGTTTTAATTAATCAATAGTTTATTTTTATTCTAATAACAATAAAATAGTTACAATATTTATGTTGCCCTCTCTCTGGTTTGAAACTCATTCAAATAATAATTGAAAGAAAAAAATATAGGCTTCATTATCTGGGAGCCTGAAGCTCAAGTCTTCTATTTTTTTCCTATTCATTTTGTACTTTTTTTTGTTGTGTTCTTTTACGGCTCGTTCACACAATGGTGCAGAGACATCAGTTTTTCTGCATGCGATCTGCAAGGCCCTGTTCACATCACAACACTAGTATCACATGTAGATTTTTTCTGCACATGATTTTTGCAACATGTTTACAACTTACTGGTGCATGATGATGATGTCTCTACAAGTGAAATCTGCACGTCAATTTCCATCGGTTTTTCAGTACATAAGGTGTGAATCAGACCTATAATGGATGTCACTTATTTTTAGTACCTAAGAAATTCAGGAAACTAATATATTTAGGATTGTTATGTAGTTCTAACCATAATAAATATGGAAAATATGTGAAAAGCACATATTCTCTTTAAAGCAGAAATAACCCTGTTTTAAAAAAAATGTTGACAGGTGGGCTATTTATGACACTAGAGCTCTTCAGTCAGTGTTATTTTTTTTTTGTGTATGTGTGTGTGTGTGTTTACTGAGCTGTGCATGTACAGGGACAAAGTAACTCCCATACAGGGGCGGACTGACCATTTGGAAACTCGGGCACTGCCCGAGGGTTCGGGGTCAGTAGGGGGCCCCATAAGATGCCCCTGGTACCTTTTTCATAGGCTTTTTTGAGTTTGGGCAAGGACACAGGGGCCCCATGATCCCCTATTGCCCAGGGGCCCAATGAGTTGTCAGTCCGCCCCTGCTCCCATATGTAGAAAGACAGAGTGAAGAAAGTGTCAATGATGGAGGGCAGCGCAAACATCGCAGTGCTGGAGGGAATCACTTTTTAAGACAAGTGTGCCAATTTGCACATTATGGCAAAAAGCTCTTGGGGCCCATTTTTTTAAATTTTTACTGGCAGTTAACTTCCGCTTTAAGGAATAAAGGTGTTGTTTGGTAAAGAATACTTACCTAAGCAATACCACCTAGACAATCATAGATTGAGGATTCACAAGCTATAGTATATAGCAAATTGTTTTGTCTTGAAATATGTTAACCAATTTTATTGTGTTCTGGTATCTTTACTACACTATTGGTTGCTTCTGCATCTTCACTGATGACATTGCTTTCTGTATCATTAGACTCAGTCCTATTCCAAAGCTCTTAAACAGTAGAATATCCTTATCAGATATGAATCCCTTAACCAAACTGTAGTAGAGAAAGGGCCATCCCATATTCCTGATGCTTTGGCCTCTGCTGGCGTTATCCCCAATATCCAATCCTGGTGGTTCCCTTTTAGAGAATTATATCCAGAAACATTTTAAAATCATAACCAGTTTCAATGCTGCTAACAATACTGGCTGCCATAATTTACCAACTCCAGCAACCATATGGGAATTCAGATGTTTGTATTCTGCAGGCTTACAATGTGTGCTCCTAGCAAACCTTCAAAATAACAGGCTTTACTTTTTTCTGCTGTTTGAAGCTAATTTTGGCATAATTGCAAGCACAGTGCAGCTGTGTGAGCAACACTGATAGTGGTTCTGCTATTAGGAAGCAGGATTATCACAGCCATTAAAATATATCTTGGGCCCTTTTTTTTAGACCTTTATAAATTTGTGACTTTGTTCTACTTTCAAGTAAATGTAGAGCTGGTCCATAAAACTCAAACAGCTATTGACTTCATACTGAGCAGCAGGGATCTCGGAGGAAATTTTGTTCAGATGTGATGG